TCATTTTGCCTCCGAGAAATGAGCAAAAACGGGACGGAAAACATGGAATTTTGCAATAATCTTGCGCCACCCTTGCACAAAACGACGATAATTTTCCTAATTTCATAGACAACAGAAGACTGTATTTTTTCTACATAACCTCCCCCCCCTGACTTTAAGCCCCTGTAAGTCAGTGAATGTTGGATTTTTTACGCCCAAGTTTGCAAGCCGATAAAAATTCAGTAAATTTGGATTTTTGTATAATTTCCACATTTTTTGCTGGATGTTTTCCAGCAATTGTTCATTGAACATTTCATACGAATCTTCAACCGGCGAGTAGGCTTGATTTTTTGGGCTTTCAGATTAATCACCCAAATCATCGTGAAAATCCCCAAGCAATCTTGCACCTACTTGGCCGTCAATCAGCCAGTTTCCATCGGTCTCCAAGTGTTTTTTCGATCGGAACTTCAACCTGTTGTTCAATCAATCACCATCTGAATTGTGCAAAATTCCACAGTTTTCCTACAGCCCCCGTAGTGAGCTGGCAGAGCGTTCGGGCAAAGTCGCAGATAGCCGAACGTGGAAAATGACATTTGCATGCGGCTGTACGGAGGACGAAGGGCGAGGAGACGTGGAGGGACGGGAACCGAATCGCGTTCATAGCCGCCATCATTGTGACGCGCACTTAAGTTCGGTCTGTTATAGTGACGATCGCCCAGAAATTTGACGTGGCTACTACGTATACCCAGTTTTACCCACTCCGATTGCAGCGAACTTGCTGACGAGGAATACGTAAGTGGTAAGTGCCCAGCTGAAGAATAATAACGGCTGACACAGGCCAGACAGCCCTTCTTGTTGGTTGCCACGAAAATTCGCCAGTGCCAGTGAAACGCTCCGAAATGCTGACAACTTGTTTCGCCACTTTTCTCCAAAAGGTAGTGAATATGGCGTCATATCTGTGAATAGGTTATAAATTTAGAAACACACCATTATGGAGCGCGGGCTGTTTCACAGAGCGGCCCACCTGAGTGATACAGTGTCTGTGGTTTGGGGGGTTTAGACTCACACAATCCTCGTTCTTCCCATCCAACAGGCAACGTTGTGGTTATGTGCAAATGCTGTCGCACTATTTTGGCTCGCTAATAATACCGCTGTAAACATTTACGTCATCCGGAGCTTGTTTTTAAACATTTACCAGCCGACAATTGCGGGGTTTTATTTGCCACAGTCGCTGTCGCCTTGGCTTGCATTCAACCGACTTTTCTATGGGCTTTTAAAACTACCCGACGATTTACTGTGTTAATCCGCAAGAAACTTAACTAAGCCCTTGATCACAACAAGCCCCATTTTGTGCTCATTATGTCAGTAGGGGCCCCCCATTTCAGGGCAGTTATCAACATTTGATTGTCCCTGTAAGGTCTTCTGCAAGGATTGCATTTTTAGCGGCAACGCTCATGTGAACAATGGCTGAAGTTGTTACTGGTAGCTTTTCTGCTCAGCTACGGCAATATTTGCCCAATTCGGCGTCTGGATGGAGGCAAACGATGCATTTTCACTATTGCTATACACATTTGAGGTCGTCATTTTGTCAAGAAAAGGCTGCCTGAATGCTTGGTTGCCGTTGTTATTTTTTTGTCGCTCTTCATTCGTTTATAAACATTTTCTCTGCTTCAAAGGGATAGACTTTCGAGGCCATTCCTTGAAGCTAATGGAATTTCTTCCGGACGTTTCGCAAGCACGAGTGGCTTGCATCTTCAGAAGTGGTTTGCTTGAACGCTTACACTGTTCTCATCAGAACCCAGTTCAGTTCTTCCGCAGAACTGAACGGGTTCTGATGAGAACAGTGTAAGCGTTCAAGCAAACCACTTCTGAAGATGCAAGC